GATTCCTGAACCTTCTGGTTTGTTACTCCCGCACAGCCTGCTCCCTGACCCCTTCCCACTGGCGTCGTTGCCTCCCTACCTTTTCCTGACACTGCCTCTTCTTCTGCTGCTATCTTAATAGGCCCACTACAGGCCAGCAGCCTCTGAGTGTGAGCCCTCCCCTCAACTGAGAGGCAGGGACATGTACTTAAAAAAGTGTTAAAATTATTTTTTCAGTTAGCTGGCCTATCAGCCATCCGGTTGGCCTCTGCACATGTCTCCAGCACTCAGCTGAGAGGCGGGGGCATGCTCAGGCCAGATAACAAAAACATTTTTTGATAATTTTTTTTAAAAAATTGTTATCTGGCCTGTCAGTTGACCAGGCAGTCTCTGCACGTGTCCCTGCCACTTAGCTGAGAGATGAGGACATGCTTAGAGGCCGGCCAGCTTGCCAGAGCCGGCAGCCTCTCAAGATGGCGGCGATAGAGGAGGAGGCAGTGGCCGGAAAAGGCAACGTGGGCAGTGGGAAGGGGGTGGGGGGAAGTTGTGTGGACAGGGAGGCTGCTGTGTTTTGTTTTTGTTTTTAGAAGGTCTGCCTAAAAAAAATCCCAAATGAACTAACACCTGATTTGTGGTTCATTTGGGGAAAATTCATAAATTTGTGGTTCATGGACTTCCATGAATCACAAACCAGGACAAACCACCACTTTGATGGTTTTTGCCCATCTCTAGTCTCTCACCTTTTCATATCTCAACTTTAGTTCAAACATCTGTTTTGGTTACTGTTCATTTATTGCGACAGACAGTGCTGATGCAGCAATGAGCTTTAAGACAGGCTTTAACCCAAAAGTGGGCCCTGAATTACCAAATAACAATTAAAACATCATGCATAAAAATAACAAGCTTGCATTTTGTTGAAGGGGGGGGGAAGGGGATTGCAACTAGTCTGTTTTTCTTACTAATGATTCTAAAGGGGAAGTATATTGCTGAAATAGATCTAGACTCTGCTTTACATGTGCATTGTTAGCAGTCCATATGTGACTTCCTTCATGGGCTCGAGAGATCAGACTTCACCCACATTCTTGAGAAATGTAGCTTTAGCACATCAAGATGATCTATCTCAGTGCACATTATACAGTATTAGCTAATGCTACTCCCCAAAACTGTGTCACACGCTTTCCTAATATGCCATCTGATAAAATGTACAACTTCCTCTCATCAGTTTCAGTAATAAATATTCAATGCAAAATTCTGCAGCATGACAGAAATCAGCCTACACATAATGGAAATTTGTACCCATAAACTTGCATATACAACCTGTCCAGCTCCTTTACATGTTCTCAAAAGATGTTTTCAGCATATCACTACAGATAGCAAGCAATTAAAGGCAACAGAAACAATATTTGGGGGAGAGTTTAATCCTTGTTGTAGTCAAATTATGGGCAAAATCCTGTTTCATACCTTTGCATCCAGTGTAACTTGATCAGGTGCCAGAAATATTTGATTTACATTCATTAAAAGTATCCTCCCTGTTTCAGGTCTCTGTAGCTCCCTTTTGTCCTGAGGAAGTCTTTGGGAACCTCAGAATGATGGGGGAGTCTTTAGATATTAAAAAATATCACCACTGGGATTTTGACTGCTGCCATCAATCTGGAAGCAATTTTTGAGCAGTACCCCTGTCACCTGTGTCACTGCTTTCAACCTTCTAAAGTGACCTTCTGAAGATGGGGACACTGCTATGTTGGCGAAGGTTCCCCACATAAACCAGAAACTGGTCAGCTAGGGCTTGGCATTTGTAAAATTCTGGCCCAGGTGGGGAAGCTATTTAGGCAGAGAAGCTCCTCCTCTTTTGCTTCAAGATGTTCTTTTCTTGTGTTGAAAGCCACAATGGGGGAGCTATCATGCTTCCCTTATTGGGTGTGAGATTTACGCATTTAACTGATGACAGAATATGCTTTGTGAACTCACTTTCTATGGCAGTGCTGGGCAAAGTACAGTGGATCCTCGACTTACAGACAGCTCGACTTACAGACTTTTCGAGTTACAGACTTTTCTGGCCGCAAAATTTAGGTTTGACTTGCAGCCGGAGAATCGACCTACAGACCAGAAAAAAACCAAAATGGAATAAAAATGGCCAGTTATGGCATTAATCGGTTTTCAATGCATTGTAGGTCAGTGGAGACTCAACCTACAAACTTTTCGCCCTGCAGCCACCGTTCCAATACGGATTAATTTCGTAAGTAGAGGGTCCACTGTATGGCCCGGGGGGCACATGTAGCAGATTTAACAGCCCTTAGCCCTTTCGTGGCCCCTGTTTCCAAAAAAGGAAGGAGGAGTGACCCCAACTGTTACTCCTCTTTCTTGGCAGCCATTTAAAAGCACCTAACAGTTTTCTTGAAGCAAACTGAGGATCCCACACTATGCATTCTTCTTTGGGAGTAAATGTTACTGGACGTAGTGGAGCTTTGTTTTGAGAACATAGTTCTGTTAATTTAGTTTATTGCATCTGTTCTTCTCACCTTCCCCGAATCAACCTAACAGGTGTAATTAAGTGCTCTCTCACAGACACTTCTGAAGTTAAGCAGAAACTTCTGTATTCTTTCTAACCCCAGCTGTAAGGTCATAGCTGTATTTCTCCTCATAGAGTTTGCCTTGGGATGACACTTGCTTGGAAAGTGTTTCACTTGGAAAACAAATACAGGATTCTCTGGTTTAGTCAGCTACTTTTAAAAAAAACTTTACCAATGGGCTGTATTTTTAAACCTGTTCAGCATAAAAAAAACAATCCAATCAAGGAGTACGTGGAGAACCATGAATGAGGCAAAGGAGAGAAATAAGTGTCTTTTTTCTAATGTTTGTACTCTGGTTATGAAAATAACACTGTGTGGGTTATTCTGAGGAAATGTTTTTGAGTGCTTTTTTTTCCTCCTTAGGAACTATTCTTTCATTTAAACTTGTATGCTGTAGATTGAGTGGTGTACTGTATTTTCTTCCTTAGGAATTATTCTTTCATTTAAACTTGTATGCTGTAGAGAAAACCAAGATATAATAACAAAAAAGAATCAGAATAACTATAAAGGATGACAAAACTGCAATATGTATGCTACAATCATAAAATACAACAAACACCAGTAGGTACACCAATATGTCGCTTAAAATGATAAAATTAGTGACAAAACAGTAGATCCAGTGGCATACAGTGTCCAAAACTTCGCACAAACAAATTGAATTTGCACAGTCTTCCAGGTTTGATGCCAGTTAATGCTAATATTTTTGCCTCTCTCCAGTTGTCCAGTTTCAGCCCTGTTTTGACAACCATAATTTAAGGAGAACATCCATTCAGTGTAAAATCAATTTTAAAGAAGCATGTGTACCACAAGGCAGCCACATTCCATCACAAAATGGGAAGTGTTTAAGCTCATTAGAATCAATAAACTTAAGTGTGCCTATTCCATTGTCAGTTCTTGTTGCTTTTTAAGGAATCTTAGGTGCATTGCACTTTGTCATTTATTTTGCACATGTCTCCCTGGGCCCATGTGCAGTGGACCCCCTCACATGAATGGGATTTACATACGTGTTGACATACGACTCAGCCATTGTCTCAGTGGGTCTCAGCTAGTAGGGACTACTAACTGGAATTAAGGCAAAGCTTACAATAAACCTTGCTCTTTGAAGTCTTCTAAATTACCTTCAGCTAATATTGTTGTTACAGTTGTAAGACGTTATTATGAAAGAGTCAAATAAAAGGCACACAAGCTGCAACCCTATGAAAGGGCATCCTAGGGCCATGCAGTCAATTAGATTTGGGTTTCTACGGTAGAGAGATCAGTGTTCTTTGAGCTTCTGGTCAGGTTTACGCTTTTCTTTTGTTTCTTGTTTCTGCAAACTTTACAATTTCTTCTAGACTGTTTATATTTGCATTGGTGTCTCTCTGTGTGCTGCTGTTTTAGCCACAGATGAATAGCAGCATATGTTTTTCTTCTTCACATTCTGGAAGTCTTAAAAATTGACTATTCTATGTTTTACACTGAAAACCCAAACCTTCACATGTTTCAATGGTACACTCTACATGGTGGGCAAAATGTATTCCCATTTGGTATAGGTTGTCGCCTACAATGGTCCGCAAGACTTAATTCCAATATAGTGTGTATCTTTGGACAGTAAAGTTATGACCCACAGATATTTTTAATTTTGTAATTCAGGCAGGAAGATAGACAGTCATATAGATTGACAGGTGGCAGCTCTTGTTTGCTGCAGTTGAGTTTAAGCCCTCTGGGCCTCTTTTCTCCACTTTTCCTTTAACAGCTGCAGCAAAATGCCATTTGCAAAATTGCATGGATCGAAGTGTTCTGCCCCATGAATTTCAAGACATACTTCTGCATTTCAAGAAAATTTTCCATAGTGAAAATTATACCATTTGGTACAAAATCCTTTCTTACATTGCAAGTCAATATCCACATTGACAGTGTTGTTACTGTGATCATCATTATCATCATCATCATTGCTATATTAGTGTGTATGTGCTTCCTTACTATAAACCCCTTGCTGGTAGCTATCACTGACTTTGTTATGGCTCTCAGAAGGTCAGGTAGGCTAAAAATACATTTCCATTCCTTGAATGACAGTTGGGAGATGATGATAATGATGACTCTTGTTAGTACTGAAATTGGCTGTTCTTCATCAAGATGTATACTATCAGTCTAAGTAGGGTTTAATCCTGGCTGATTTCTCAGTCTTTGAAGTCCTGTTGCCATTCATACTGATGACAAATTCTACTTGTTTAGCTGTGATCAGGATTAATTCAATTGCCTTTACACTTCCTTCTTTGTTATAGGCATTTTCTTTCATTACAATTTTGCCTGCAGCAGAAAAAAATGCATTGCAATTGAATAAATTGTGCAATATTTACATCTGTCAGGCCAACCCCTCAATCATTGCTCCACCTTACACATTATGAAGATGACACCTTTTTATAAAGTGCCAGGAGCAACAGCTGCAGTCAGCAGTCAGTGTGAGTTGCTACTGTGTTCCTGTACCATCTCCAAGAGGTGAAAATGCAGCGACCTACGAAGTGTCACCTTACTGTAAGTCTGAACTTAAGACTTGTTAAAAACTTCATGCAGTTAGAAAGATTAATACCTACACCTATACAAGCGTGCTTCTCTCTTTCCAAAATGAATAGAACATCCATGGGCTAAGCAGATTTTGCCTCTGTATGTATGTATCTATGTAGAGGTGTATAGGAAGGGCACTCTGATTTATGGACAATTAAACTTTTAAATAATAGATGCAACTGGCACATATGAATGTAGACCTCAATTTAAAATTGTAAGGACTACAATTTTAAATTATTATTATTGGTTGTGCTTCTGTTTGATGTAACATAGTTTCTAAGTCCCAGTTTTTGAGTGAATGAGGTTTACCATAGTGAGTGTCTGGAACAAGGACAGCAAAGTTTGTTTCATTTCCATGTCACATGTATTCATTCATGAGTCAATTCTACCACACAAATATTAATGATTTTTTAAAATGGAGAAACATCTGTTTTCTCCTAAAACTCTGCAGTTATTAATCTCTTGTATGCCTCAACATACACATCTATCTGCATTTGTTACAATTTTTGAGCTAGGAACTGGCATAGAAAATCTCGAGAAGGGCACAATCTGAAGAATACCTGTATTTGGGTTTGCACATTTGTCCAGGAGGGATGTATTTAGTTGGTTCACTTTGAAAGGCAGACCAAATAAAGCTATTCAGCATTCCTACTTACATGCAATGATGCTGAATAGCTCAGTGGTTTCGGTATCCGGCTGTGGGATCCAGAGGCAGGGAGCTCACTTCCCCACTGTGCTTCCTTGACAGGAGCTCGACTCAGAGATTCATAGGGTGCCTTCCAGCTTTGAAGGCAACGACAACGACAACAACGATGGCACCAGGCACAGCCACAATTATAAAAACACTGACTGGTATTATATAACAGATATGAGTCTTAACCAAAAACCTAAGTATCTATATTGGTGCAGTATGTACGTACAGTATACTGTTCCTAATATTGCTGTATTTTATAGCTCTGATTGTGCGATTTCTGAGATCTGCAACTTATAGTACTGTGTGAAATTTCGTGATATTGTTCCCAAAGCCTCACTAACTACAGGGACGGCTGAAGTGTGTTTCTCCCAGAGGCGAGATGTTTCAATTCCCAGCCCTCTGTACTTTGTTAGTTTTTCCATGTCTTTATTTTCAACTCTGGCATCCCCTAGAATTGCAATGTCAATGATCCAGACATTTCTTTGTTCTATTACTACCATGTCTGGTGTGTTATGTTCAGGGTGTGTTGTTGCTGTTGCTGTTGTTATATTCCATGATTTATGAAGTCTGGAATACAGGTGTTCGAGTCACAGGGAAATCTCTAAGATTAAATTCATGATGTAGTGTTAGTCCTCATGTGCTTTATAGATCCCTACCCTACACCTCTTGTACCATGGCATGAATGAAATCAGTTTCACCTCCATGCTCTGTATTATAAAGTTTGAATTCTCTGTGATACAACTATAGCAAATCATGTTTCTATTGAATATTTTGGTACAGTTACAGAGAGAATGTAATCAGATAACAAATAAAAGCTCAACAGCCTGATCTTGACTTCAGTAGTGAATTAGAAGTCACAGTAGAAGGCAGTGTGTGTGTATGTTAACCCAGAACCTGAGCAGAAGCGGCACCAAACATACTACTTGGGAAGATTATTCCAAAATGCTTGTAGGAGGGAAGATGTTTGTGTAAGAAAATAATCTGTATTGAGTTATAAAAATAAAAAGATGCCACATAGGAATGTGGTCTGACCAACTCTTGGGGTAGGCACAGCTGCTATGTTAATTTTTGCAATAAAACAAGTCAGCAGACACAGTCCCAGAACTGCATATGTCTTGTTCTGGGACATTCCAGTGGCAGGTTATTTCCATATGAGCAACTATGAGTAGGAAAGTCGTGTATTTTTAATGTAGGAGATCTTTTTCTTTGTCACCAACTACAGTCAAAAGAGAAACCAAATACTCAAGGGATTTATTTCGACTGATGCTTTTAGATATGATTTGAACAGCTTAGCGCTCTACGTGGGGTTATCTTTGAGGCTGCTGCGGAAACTACAGGTGGTGCAGAATGCAGCGGCCAGGTTACTTAGTGGAGTGAAAAAATACCAACACATCTCGCCCACTCTGGCCACACTGCATTGGCTGCCCATCCAATTCCGCATCGACTTCAAAGTGTTGATGCTCACGTACAAAGCCCTAAACGGTTTAGGGCCTCAATACTTGGCGGAACGCCTACTCCCACCAAGGTCTACCCGTGTCATTCGTGCGAGCCAGGAGGTGAGGCTGAGGAGCCTAAAGCCGAAGGAGGCCCAGAAGGAAAAGACAAGAAATCGGGCCTTCTCGGCGGTGGCTCCTCGCCTCTGGAACAATCTACCTCCTGAGATTCGCGGGGCTCCCTTGCTGGGTATCTTTAAGAATCAATTAAAGACATGGATGTTCCAGCAGGCCTTCCCATCAGATAATTCCTGACGCCTTTTCTTTCCTCTTTATTGTTTTTCTCACTCTTTGTATGGCTTTTACTATTTAAATTGTTTATATATTTTTATTGTACTTTTTATGATTGTTAGCCGCCTAGAGTGGTCCTGACCCGACCAGATAGGCGGGATAGAAATGAAATGAAATGAAATGAAATGAAATGAAATGAAATGAAATAAATAAATAAATAAATAAATAAATAAATAAATAAATAAATAAATAGTAAACTATCTTGTGAATCCACTGCAAATAATGCACCAGACTTCCTCAACCTGGTGCCCTCCAGATGTGATCAACTACAAGTCCTATCCTCCCTAGTCACTATATTATTGGTCATGGTGACCAGGGATGATAGTAGCTATAGTCCAACACATTGAGTGGAGACGGGTTTTGGAAGGTTGTAGAAAGATTATATGTTACAGACAGCAAGTCATTCTAGGTGAAATCAGGTTAATTATCTAGAAACATGACTTCAGGACTCCATGTCAGAAATTTGATTTGCAGACATATCACACACAAAAAGCAAGTTAACTGGCAAAGTATTGAAGGTGTGAAAAGCTCCAGTTCAAATAGTTTCATAATATAAAGAATCTTCTCTTCTGATGACATCCCCTTAGTAATGTGCAGTTTGAACCATAGAGAGGGCTTTTTATCATGAACGTCATAGTATATATACCATATTCATCCACTTCATGGTGAAAGTCAAGTCCTTTTGTAGATAATAATGAAATTTGAGTGGTAATGGGTGCCAGGTGAATGTCTTTATTTGAAATAAATTTAGGCAAAGGAACAGGTAACTCTGGTGGAATTAGAGATCAGTTTTCCACCCTCAGAACCTGCTAGGAATCACATCACTCCCCTCCTCAAACTGGAAATATTTAGAAGGTCACTTCCATTTATCCCCCCCCCCTTTAAAAAATAAAACTGGGCATGCTGCAGACAGACACCTTGTTTTAAAGGGGAGTTACCTTGCTAGGAAGCTTCACCTTATGGTAAATCTTGAGGGCTACAGCAATGAACGGTAGGCAACATGTCATCTCTGAGTAATGTGTTCCCAATCCTTGATTTATACATTTGGGCTATGGTGAATTTTCATTTATGCAGTGCACCAGCAACCCTGTTAGGAGGTGAATGTAGTTAGCTTGTGGTCTATGTTATGGTGGGGGGTGACCCTGAAAAATTGGAATGAAACGCTCTTTCCTGCTCAGACCGTGAGTCACCCTGGTTTCTTTTTTGAGATAATGTACTTGACGTATTTTTGTTTTTGTGTTCCTGATCAGTTTGCAAAAAAGATAACACCACAGAGTTTTGGATTTTGTATTTAATACCCTGTATCCTGGTGAGTGCTCACTGGAAGGACAGATCCTGAAGCTGAGGCTCCAATATTTTGGCTATCTCATGAGAAGAGAAGACTCCTTGGAAAAGACTCTGATGTTGGGAAAGAGTGAAGGCAAGAGGAGAAAGGGACGACAGAGGACAAGATGGTTGGACAGCGTCATCGAAGCTACCAACATGAATTTGACCAAACTCTGGGAGGTAGTGGAAGACAGGACGGCCTGCCATGCTCTGGTCCATGGGGTCATGAAGAGTCGGACACAATTTAATGAGGAAACAGCAATCCTGGTGCTAGCTGCAAATAGAGTAAACATGATGACTCCATGATTTTAACATGAATGTTAACTTACCCTTCAGCAGTTGATTCAATGATTGCCTTTTAACTGAGACTAGCAATAAAATACTGGCCATCTGGAGAACAAGTGGAAAGACTCCTCTCTGCCTTTTCACCCAATAAAGAGAACTGACAGTAGATTCAGAAGGGTGTAATTGACTTGTGCATGTACTCATTCAAGCAACACATAATTGATGTATGGAACATATTGCCATAGCATGATGATAAAAACTAACTGAAACACTTTTAAAAAGAGGTGAAATGATATTACGGAAAACAGCTCTATCTGTGCTGATGACTCTTCAGAGCTAATAGTGGAGCATCCGTTTTCAGAGGCAGGATATCTCTGAATACTAGAGCTGTGTGTGCTCAATAAGAAAAAGTATTATGACACCTTCAAGGTCTATTTGTAGGCTTCTTGGAGGAATCTGGCAGACTTCTGAATAGATTATCTGAGCTTGGAGGCTCATAATATAAGCCTGCTGTGATCACATTCTAAATATCAGGTGTTATCAGGATTATTTCCAAGCTGTCCATGGCTGAAGCACTGAGGAATAAACCCCACTAACTTCAAGTGATGAACTGAAGTAAAGAGATTTCAAATCATATTACATATCATGAACAGTTATTAGAAACAGGAATAGGGAGAGATCTCAGATTTGTGCCTGTCCCTGGCAGCTACAGATATACACAAGGGATTTTTTTGGATTGATGCTTTTAGATAGTTTTGAACACAAAGCACATGGGATTATTTGCCAGAAGATTTTACAATATTATGTATGTGAAGCTGCAGTGCTGTGGTATCCTGTTGATTGATATAGGACACAGAATAATTCATGGTAATGGGATAATA